AACTCTCAAAATCCTCCAGAACCATAGCGGCACCCAAACCCTAGGTTTACCCAAACCAAAACGAGAAACACTGCAAGCCAAAGAAACGCGCAGCCCCTAGTCCTAGGGCACTACCACCACAGAATCCTATCCCACGTACGTCGCGAAGCCCAACCCAACACCGGAGAGATGAGCAGTAGAGAAGCCAGGGGGCAAAACGATGAAGAAAACAAGAAGACTCGATAAGAAAACCCTTGTAAGCACCCAAAACCCTAAACGGCTCTCCTCGCAAGACGAGAGAGCAACCACGTTTAATTTGTGTGTATTCTTTAATGATTTCATATATAAAAAGAGGTTTTCTATTTAAAACCCGCACTTCTCTTTGTTCACCCAATATTCTAAGTTCACCCCAACTTTTAATTTAAATTTTCATAATTTCTAAAAAAAAACTCCACTATCTTCCAAAACTACCCATAAATAAACAACCAGCAGAAAAAAAAAATATATAAAAAAAACTTATTAACCTCACACCCCACACCCCACTATCAAATGAACCAACAAGCTCTTTCCAATTTTCACTGCAATCTCACTATGGACTATACCAATCAAATGCTTGGAGGTTGGAATGATTATGTCTAATCAAATGTTTACATATTTGGACCCCTACGTAGACCAACATTCATCATTCTTGGCGCACAGAACATGGTAAAGACTTCGAATCTCTACCAACAACATGTTTATTGTGGATTTTTAGATCAGTTAGAGGAAACGAACAAGTAATTTTTACATGATCATTCGATTGATGGTAGGATAGCCATGCACAACACAAGCACGCGATGGATTGTGCTCAGAAAGAAGAGTTGCGGCTATTATTTTTTCGGGAAATAACGGAGCGGTGGGCTCTGTTTTTGGTAACAAAGAGTTGTTGGCTATCCTTATATGGCTCTTTATTTAACTGCAACAGAAATTACTTGCTTAATTTGAAGAAGAGTGGTGGGGTGTGTATATAGATGTACTAGGGTTAAGTATTAAGTTGGATGACCTTTTTTGTCTTTTTACACAATAATAAAACTTAATAGCTTAATGATATAAGTATTGGGGTGAACAAAGAAAAGTGTGGGGTTTAAATAGAAAAACTCTATAAAAAAAAACTTAGGCAAATAACAAATTGAATCTCGGTTCGATTAAAAGACTAACTTGTGTGGGGCTTGAAGCTTAAGTGGTTAAGAGGATATATCCCGTTCTAAGTTCGATTTCCTCTTCCCGAATTTCGCTTGTATAAAAATAAAAAGTAAAAAATATAAGTACTAAATTTGTTATTATTTGAAGACATTTTTATATATATATATATAAAATCATCAATTATAGAAGGAAAAATCAATGAAAAAAGGTTTTGAGAAAACAATTTAAAACTTGATGGAGTATTTGTGTAATTTCTTTAACTACAAAGGGTTTAGTAAAAGCACATGTTTTAGTGTAAATAACTCTGAAACGTATCCGAATAAAAAATAAAAGCACATGTTTCGGTTGATTTGTTTCGTATAAGTTGTTTGACTCTTCTGTTTAGTCAATAGCATTGGTGGTACTCTTTCCTACCCCAGGATTTTGTTTCTTTGGGAATGTTTTAACGAGGTCGCCGTTAACATGCTAGTTCTTACCATGTAATGTTCCATTCGGTTTAATGAAATACCATCTTTTTTGAAAAAATAAAAAAATAAAAAGTCTTTTATCCATTTAATGGTTTATGGATTAACTTTCTTTTATGTGAGCGTGTCATTGTTACCAGATAATACCCTAATAAATTTGAATGACTTTATATACTTGAGCCTCAAGTTACTTTAAACAAACGATTGTGATTTTGGGTGGGGAAACCTCCCAAGAGAGATCTTTTCTATGCCTCAGACTGGTGAGGACTTCACAATTTATCTAGACAAAATGGTAAGTAAAGAAAAATACACGAATTTATGGAGAATATAACAAACTAATCCAAGCAGAACTGCCTTAAGCACAAAGCATAAAATGAATTGCTAAATCTAGACAGGCCTCAAATTGTTGTACTTTGACTTATGCTTAAAAATACAATCAAAATGATGTTTTAAGGTCAGGTTGGACTGGATGTTTCTGCACTAGAATTGCACGTCAATACCTTCAATTAATATAGATTAGTTGGAAATCAATACCAATGTTGGTATTCGCAGAGCTATGAGCTAATACATAGGCTGGAAAAGTGAGTAGAACTGCAGGCAAGTACCTATTATGTTTGGTTTTGTATGATGTGGAAGCTTTCTAGACAATTTTAAGACATCAAGGTATCTTTATAAACTTGTTGAGGTTTTCATACGATGAAAGACATGACTTCTATTTGTGTTATCAGATTTGCTGAACCAAATTTGTAAGAGAATTCAATCTTTTTTAAGTTCTGATTGAAATACCTTGTCTATATTGCAAAAAGAATCTCGTCTTCTTTTTGGCTGTCTGAGCTTTTCTTTGAGTTGGGTTGCTTCCTACAGAGGATTGCTCGCTTGACTTTGATAATTGCAAGATCGTGTGATCTTTGATTTCTTTTGATCAGTCTGGACTGATTGTTGAGTTTTTGTTTGATTGGTTGGTTGGTTGGTTGGTTGGGTCCCCTCTCCAGTCCATGCATTCTTGTATTTATAGGAGAAAAATGATGATGAAGAAATCTGGATATTTTTTATTTTGGACTAACCCCCATTTAATGCACAAGTGGCAAAAGTTTTGTCATTCCAATGCATTGATCATTTTTGGCACCTGCTCATCAATACTCCTGAATGTCTCCTGATCGTTCCTTTTGCAACAATTAGACTGAAGTGAGCAAGAATTCCCAGATTCTTCCAATGTTGGTACCATAAATATCCAAATACTTTGGTAGTAGAAAAAATTCAATGATCATATAATAAATAACCGTGATTCTCAAGCAAGTCTGGCTTTTACTTTCCAACTTTTAAGGTCATCAATTTTCCTTGGAGTTTAGTCACCAACAGTGAGGAAATTTCCTAAAAAACTTTAACAACTAAGAAACTGTGAATTTTGGACTGAAACTAATTCAAATAATTTGATTCTTGGATTAAATCACCATTGGTGGTAATTTATTTATCAATTTATCAAAAAATCATGAATTAATTAAATCACCTATGGACTAGTCACCATTTTTGGTAAACAAAGCCCAACGTTTTGTAAAATGAACCCAATAGCCCATTTGGACTAGCGCGTAGGATTTAAGCCCAAACAATACCTATTCGTCTAGAATTTTATATATATATTGTATCATTCTTCTATTTTGGATAACATTCCAAGAAATTTGTCTAATCTTATACTGGATGTTTTGGGGGCACTTTTTTATGCCATGTGTTCTCTTATGTGCATTCGGGGGATAAATAAAATAGTCTCACTTCGTCATCTTTTTATCGCACAAATGCGTATTTACACATCAAAATTCAACACTTCGGTATTTCTTTTTCAATTTCAACTTTAATTATTGTTGTCTCAAAATGGCTTCAAACACGACTCCAAAAATGCGTGGATGCATAGTGGCTTGGAACACAATCCCAAAATGTGGTAGTTGCTTGATCCGATCATCAATTTCATTCAAAGTGACGAATTTTTTTTTCAACAACTCTTCTACAACATTTGACCATTTTTTTCTTGTTGAAAGTCAAAAGTTTTGTCAACTTACAAAAAAAAACTAGGCAAAAATATTAATACTAGAGTCCTTATATAATCTCTATATCTCTTCAATTGAGAGATATTTGTGGTTGACCCTACAAGGAAGCAAGTGTTGAGTTCTTCAAAGACTAGGTAGATAGATAATTCAAAATTTTACCCAATTTCTGAGGATTTGGATTTCAGCAAAGTGTTTGATAGCATTCGTGCCCTCCATGAATGCTGGGGCAATTGATTCCAAACAATTTTAATCGGGGGAAAGAAAACCCACACTCCAACAAATATTGTGTGTTTGAACATTGAGGACTAAAAATATGTGTTTTAGCTAAAATACAGAACAAGCCAGAGAAAACAATTTTAGCCCAACCCTATATACTTTGTTCCGCCCTTATTTGGGTGGGTTGAGGGAATTTGTGTGTGTAAGGGGGAATGGAGGAAGGGCCTGTAAAGAGGGAAGGGGTATTGGATTTCAAGGTGGGCGGGGTTGGTCAGAACCGCTGGTGGTGCACGGGTAAGGTGATTTTTTATTTTTTTTATAATGATTTTCTATTTTTAAAATATCCTTGAAAATGGAAAGACTAAAATACTCTTAAAAATATATGGAAAATTGGATGGTGTTAAAGTGAGATGACAAATCATGGATTTCGAAAAATTAAGGTGACATTTCTCTTAAATTTTTCTTTAAAATGACAAATTGATTTCAAGGTATAAGCTCGTGTGACATTTTATAAAAAAAAATCCCTTCAGGAAATTAAGTGCTTGCATAACATCAGAAAATTCATTCTCAGTCACTTATTTTATCATGGCTTGGGGCAATGAATTGCACGTATGCCAACTAAGAATCAATTCTTGAATCAAGTAAAGAATAAAAAAGGCCTGTTTTTATATTTTGGCGAACGAAGAGAAGTTCATTGAACAGAAATTTATTCCAAAAAACAGTGCAATTGATCCTTGACCTCCCTCTTGAGATCCACACATCTTCGCACATCCATCAGTGCGGAATAGATTCATCCTAAAGATAACAATTGCCAAACCACCCTACTTTGCACATCCATCATAGCCGAGTTTTATGTCCCCTGAATTCCCAATTCATCAAGCATTGCAGATATCACGTTCCTAATCGTTAAGGTCTCGGTAAAAAGGCTAACACAAGAGTAAACAATGAGAAAACGATGCTTATCGAGTCCTTCGATGCCATGTTGACATGATTCCATATGAAACTAATCAATCATTAACACTGAAGTAGTTCCTATAAACCAACCGTGGTCGCTTAAGTAGACTAGCTGCATCTCAGAGGACAATTACTCAAAGAGCAGGGGAGAAAGGATTGAGAGTCATTCTTATCTTTTGAAAAATGGACAGAAATTAGTTTCTTCCACTCCTTACCCAAAATACAATCCATTGTCCCCTAATAGAAGCAATACATGTGCACATTGTACAAAATCAACTTTCAAGGGTAACCAAAGTTGGGAACCATAAACAGAACAATTCTGGCGACGCTACGGCAGGCATTTGTTCTAATAAGAAAGCATATATAAATCTAATTAAAAACAGGTAGGCTGCCGAGTAGAAGAACGAAAAAAGTGAATTTACTTCCTGCAAAATCTGAGTAAGATGTGGGATACAATTTAAACCTTACTATAAAGACAAAATTTCTAGGGTAGAGGACAGCATTATAGTATTGTGCCAAAAGCAAGCTAATGCATATGAGTGATGCAGCATCAGGTGGCTAAAATAATTACATCCTCCCCCGTTTCAACATATCAGATCAGACATCCTGGATATCTACCTTCCCTTGATACACACTTAACAATTCAGGTACTTCGCCAAGATATCTGTTCACAAAAATCTCCAAGAACTGCTTCTCAGCAGGTTTCACCAGAGAACCCAGATTCAAGTTCTCATTTATGAGACCTTTCAACAACAGAACTTTAACAACTGAGCACCTTGGGATAAGTCTCCTCTCCAAACTGAGACCGAGGGCCACAGGATATTTGGCAATCATTCCTGACGACCATCCCATCTTGTTCACTAAAAGATCCATTGCTTGCATAAGTTTCTTCTCCGAGATAATCATACACCACGGGTTCTTCCTGAAAGCGGAGAGAAAATCATCCTCAGACCAACCCCATGTCTTAAGAACTTCGCGACTTCTATTCAATACCAACTTATTCTGACCACACAATGCACGGAGGGCATTCACTGAAGTTGATTTTTCCAGATTAAATCCCATTTCCTTAACCTCACTCACAAGTTGACCAAATTTTTCAGGATTTACCATCAAAACGCGAGTACCACGAGTTAGCAAAAAAGAAATGCATGGTTGAGGCATGCCCGATTCTCTCAAAAGCCCAATATTTGGCACCACGTGCTTGCAGTGACCTTGCAAGAAAATCCCTGAGTTGTGCTTGAAAACAACACCAACATTTTTCTCAGAGAGCATACTCCTGAGGAAGTTATAAGTGGGCAAAATCCGATTTCTCAAGCTGACTAACAAAAGGTGTGGATTAAAAGCCAGAGTTTTTAATAGGTCCACATTTGAAATTTCAAGAGAGCTGAAAAACTCAAGCTTTGGCAAAAGGGTTTTCTCAGGATTAGTTGAAAGAAGTGTTGGACGTGACCTAATAAGCTTTGATATCTGGGTTTGAGATGCTCCATAGTTTCTCAGAAACTCTAAAACGGAGTCTGCTCTTTCTGATGACTGCAACTCGACCCACTTAGAAGCTAAAATCGCTCCTTCTGGGGACAATCCACAAGTGTTTATGAGGTAAGTGACTGTGAAATTGTGTTGGTGTTCTGAAATTTCTGAGCTGATGTGTCTGCAGAGCAACTGACTCTGAAGAGAAAAATGTGAGGGTTTTGGATCTCCAACCAACACTCTGTTTGTTTTGGAAGCAAATGTACAAGAAAATATTGAGTGAACCAATCTGAAGGTCTTCAAATTGCGGAGTTGAATCATGTTAGAGGTTGATGATGAACAATTTTTACAGGAATTAAAGCCTAGCTGATTTTCTGCCTTTAGAAAGTATGCAGTTCTCAGCATTCAAAATAGATCTGAACCATCCAAATAAAATTGCCTGGTATAGGATAAACCATTGCAGCTAGGGTAAGTTTTCTTACCATTTTCACAACTGACGGTCACTGGCTCACTGCTGCTATCCATGGTGGTAGGAAATCTTCTGCCAGAAAAACCTCTTCAGTCTTCATAGCTACAAATCAAAGCAAAGAAATTACTCCAATCTGAGGCAATAAGAAAACCCAAAACAAAGGGTTGAACTTCAAACTTACAAAAAGTCGAGGGCTTTTGCTTCTTTGGGACAAAGTGATAGAACCTTATAGCAGCAAGGATAGTAAATAAGGCAAAACGAAATGAGGAAAATTGGATATTTCATTGATGATCCCAAAATAGAGCAACTGTTGCAATTTATACAATGGAATTAGGGCGAATCAGAAAGATTGCCACGTCAAAAGTAGAAATAGCTGATTCTAGAAGAAGTTCTCAATGAGCTAATTCCTATATTATTCTTTTAATAGAAATTGGAAATATAGAGTGGATAAGCAAATAACCACATGGGGGCGTATTGCTATCAGAGCCCAAAGGATCTCATCAATTCCTCCCCCCTTGAGTATAAGCCTGTCCTCAGGCTTGAAAAGAGGGATAACGAGCAAGGATGTCGGTGGCCGGTTCCCAAGTGGCGTCAGCTTCGGGAAGACCCATCCATTTAATGAGCCATTTGACAACTGGGGCATTATGTTGCTTAAACAGTCCACGATCAAGAATGGCTTCAGGAATCCATTGAAAATCTGAACCCGTAGGCAAAGTGGGAAAATCAGATGACGGAATGTCGTGGGTTCCCAGTTTGGGCTTAAGTAGGGAGACATGGAAAACTGGATGTATTTTAGCAGATGTGGGCAGCTTAAGACGATACGCCACTTTGCCAATACGAGCCTGAATTTGATAAGGACCATAGAAACGTGGGGAGAGTTTATGGTTGCTAGAAGAAGCAACAGAAGATTGCCGATACGGTTGGAGACGCAAGTATACCCAATCACCAATATTAAATTCTCGATCAGTGCGGTGGCGATCGGCATAAGTTTTCATCCGATTCTGGGCTTAAGAGATGTTGGTTCGAAGCTGAGCAATGACTTCATCTCTGGTTTTGAGCGACTGATCCACAGCTTGGACTAAACTAGTCCCTGGTAAATAATGTTGTACTGCAGGAGGTGGGGAACCATACAATGCTTGATAGGGACTCATCTTGATAGTGCTTTGAAAAGTAGTATTATACCAATACTCGGCCCAAGGAAGCCAAGAAACCCAGGAGGAAGGGCGGTCACCAGCAAAGCAACGCAAATAATGTTCCACAGTCCTATTAAGAACCTCTGTTTGTCCGTCACTCTGAGGATGATATGCAGAACTTCGACATAAAACAGTTCCTTGCGCCTTAAAAAATGCATCCCAGAAATTAGAAATGAAAATTGGATCGCGGTCACTTACAATGGATTTTGGCATACCATGTAGTCGAAAGACCTCCTTAATGAAAAGATCAGCAACCTTAGTAGCTGTGAAGGGATGTGTAAGTGGGATAAAATGACCATACTTGGTTAAACGATCCACAACCACCAACAATGAATTTTTGCCAGCAGATAATGGTAGGCCTTCCACGAAATCTAAGGAAATATCGTGCCAAGCACCTTGGGGCACCGAAAGGGGTTGTAATAACCCAGGAGGGCGGATGGATTCGTAATTGTTGCGCTGACATACATCGCAAGAAGAAACAAAGAGTTTCACATCCCGTTTTAAGCCAGGCCAAAGGAAGGATCGAGTAATGCGTTTGTATGATCGCAAGAAGCCAGAATGCCCCGCAATGGGGGAAGAGTGAAATTCTGTCAATATTTTATTGCGCCAGTCAGATGTCTGAGGAACAAAAATTCTGCCGCGATAGAGAAGGGTACTATTAGACCAAGAAAATCCCTTTGGAGCCTTAGAATTCGAATTAAGAGCAGCAATGATTGAAATGGCCTCTGGGTCTGACTGGTATAACTGCTGGATATCAGCGATTCCATCAAAGATTGGTGTGGAAATCGCCATAAGGCATGTATCTTCAGTTTGTCGAGACAAAGCATCGGCAGCTTTGTTTAAAGAACCGGCGCGGTACTCGAGTGTGTAATTGTAGCCCAATAATTTTGCCATCCATCGATGTTGAGCAGGTGTTGTAATTCGTTGGTCATGTAGGTGCCGAAGAGTCTGATGATCTGTAATTATCTTAAAAGAAGAACCAACCAAATAAGGCCTCCATTTTTCAATAGCAAGAAGGATTGCAAGCATTTCCTTTTCATAAGTTGATAGGGTCTGATTCTTTGGAGATAACATCTTGCTGAGAAACGCAATGGGATGGTGATTTTGAGACAACACAGCCCCAATTCCTGTGTTAGAGGCATCACACTCGAGAACAAAAGGTTGCGTAAAGTCGGGAAGGGCCAAGACAGGTGTTGTAGACAGTGCCGCTTTGAGACTTTGAAAAGCTTGGGCGGAAGAGGTAGACCACATAAAACAGTCTTTTTTCAACATATCCGTGAGGGGCTTAGCGATCACACCGTAATCCTTCACAAATTTCCTGTAATAGCCTGTGAGACCCAAAAAACCTCGCAAAGATTTCAAAGCCTTCGGTTGAGGCCAATCCACAATACACTGGATTTTTGAAGGGTCTACTGCCACACCTTCACTAGAAAGCACATGACCCAAATAATGGATAGTAGTTTGGCCAAAAGCACATTTGGACAGTTTCAAATGCAGCCTGTGTTTACTTAGGACATCAAAAACAGAGGTCAAGTGCACCAAATGCTCAGCTACAGAGGTACTGTAAATGAGAATATCGTCAAAGAAAACAAGAACAAACTTACGAAGATAGGGCCTGAAAATATCGTTCATGAGGGCCTGAAATGTTGACGGCGCATTTGATAAACCAAACGGCATGACAAGAAATTCGTAATGACCATCGTGAGTGCGAAAGGCTGTTTTCGATATATCCGACGGATGCATTCGGATTTGATGATAGCCAGAACGAAGGTCTAATTTAGAGAAGATCACAGCTCCGTGCAACTCATCGAGGAGCTCATCAATAACTGGGATTGGAAATCGATCTTTGACCGTGACGGCATTCAAGGCCCTATAATCAACACAAAGGCGCCACCCATTGTCTTTCTTTTTAACCAGAAGGACTGGGGAGGAGTATGGACTACTACTTGGTTGAACTACCCCTGTCTCTAACATCTCGTTCACCAAGGTCTCAATTTCATGTTTCTGAAAGTGGGGATATCTGTAGGGTCTGACATTGACCGGCGTTGCCCCTGGAATTAGTGGAATCTTGTGGTCGATTGAACGGTGGGGTGGTAAGGCAGCTGGTGGAGAGAATAGGTCATTGTACTGGAGGAGCAACTGTTGAATTGCAGGGGGTGGAGAAGAGGGTGGAACTGGCAGGTCTTCAATGGCTATCAATTGGGCTAACATGCCTTGCTGGGCTTGGGCTGAAAGATGAGTCAACAAGTGGCAGTCCACAAAAGTAACGGGTGGGTCTGTTTGGCCCACCAAGCGATGGACTTGACCATCAACCTTGAACACCATGGTTTTGTTTTTAAAATGCCATCCAATCAAACCCAGAGTGTCTAACCAATCTGCCCCTAAAATGAGGTCGCAACCCGAAACTGCATGCAAATAACAATCAGTAAACAATTCATAACCTTGAAGATTGATGTGAACTTGATGGACCAGACCCTTTGTGTGGATGAAGTCATTATTAGCAATCTGAATTTTCCTGGGTGGTGTAGAAGTATCAATCTGCAAGCCCAAGCGTTTAGCCAAGTGGGGGTTTAATAGATTGTGAGTAGATCCAGTATCTATAAAAACAGTGAGGGTCATCGAGGAGCTCATCAATAACTGGGATTGGAAATCGATCTTTGACCGTGACGGCATTCAAGGCCCTATAATCAACACAAAGGCGCCACCCATTGTCTTTCTTTTTAACCAGAAGGACTGGGGAGGAGTATGGACTACTACTTGGTTGAACTACCCCTGTCTCTAACATCTCGTTCACCAAGGTCTCAATTTCATGTTTCTGAAAGTGGGGATATCTGTAGGGTCTGACATTGACCGGCGTTGCCCCTGGAATTAGTGGAATCTTGTGGTCGATTGAACGGTGGGGTGGTAAGGCAGCTGGTGGAGAGAATAGGTCATTGTACTGGAGGAGCAACTGTTGAATTGCAGGGGGTGGAGAAGAGGGTGGAACTGGCAGGTCTTCAATGGCTATCAATTGGGCTAACATGCCTTGCTGGGCTTGGGCTGAAAGATGAGTCAACAAGTGGCAGTCCACAAAAGTAACGGGTGGGTCTGTTTGGCCCACCAAGCGATGGACTTGACCATCAACCTTGAACACCATGGTTTTGTTTTTAAAATGCCATCCAATCAAACCCAGAGTGTCTAACCAATCTGCCCCTAAAATGAGGTCGCAACCCGAAACTGCATGCAAATAACAATCAGTAAACAATTCATAACCTTGAAGATTGATGTGAACTTGATGGACCAGACCCTTTGTGTGGATGAAGTCATTATTAGCAATCTGAATTTTCCTGGGTGGTGTAGAAGTATCAATCTGCAAGCCCAAGCGTTTAGCCAAGTGGGGGTTTAATAGATTGTGAGTAGATCCAGTATCTATAAAAACAGTGAGGGCCGTGTTGCCAATCTGGCCCTGGAGGCGCATGGTGCGGGTCCGAGGTGTGCCAGTTAATGCATGGATGGAAATGATCGGGTCATTGTCTAAGGCTGGTTGGGGAGTGGAGCCAGGACCATGGGCAATTTCGTGGGTAATGAGTTCCTCAAAAGAGTCATCAGAAGCCTCCCAATCAGCCTCTACCATGAGAAGTTGTGGCCGTTTACACCGGTGACCGGCACGAAAAGGTTCGTCACAGTTAAAACATAAATTCTTTGCGCGGCGATCCTGAATTTCAGCAGCGGTGAGGCGACGGATGGGTGGAGAACCCGGTGGTAAAGTAGGATGGAGTGGGGCCGGTTGGTCCTGTCTTGACAAGGAGGAATTAGTAGGGCGGTTGAAAGAGGAGCGTGCCATAGACCGCTGGAACAAACGACGATTGTGAAATGCGCGGGCAAGCCGCTTAGCCTCATGAAGGGTTGCTGGATTCTGAACAATAACATCACCACGAAGATCTGGTGCGAGGCCGCCTACATAAACTCCTTTCAACTGGTCATCTGTCCAATCGAGAGCTCGGCAAGAAAGGCGAACAAATTCGGTATTATAATCATCCAAAGAACCAGTTTGTTGGATATGGGACAGAGCAGAGGTTACATCCAAGGAGTCACCGGAGCCGAAATGAGCAAGGAGGGCTTCGGAGAAAGATGTCCAAGATGCCGACGGAAAACGATTCTCAAACCATTGCATCCACAAAGCTGCATCATCAATCATATGAACAGCAGCGACCTTAACTTTTAAGTGAGTTGGAATCTCGTGTAAATCCAGGTATCGCTCTGCGGTGATTAACCAAGCATATGGGTCCTTTCCAGAAAACCGTTGGAGGTCAATTTTAGGGGTTTTGAGCTGGGATGGGGGGTGGGAAGATACGGGTGACTGGTATGTGGGTGTTGTGGTGGGGAGGAAGGGAGGTGGGGAAGGGGGTACTAATGTAGGGAGGTGTAGTGGAAAATGAAGGGACATGTGAAAGAAGTGGCGGGGCTGTAGGAACAGGGGGAGTAGAGCAGAGAGGAGGGAAGCGGGGTACGGTGAAAGAACCAAAGGGAATGGTGACCGGAGAAGCCGTGGAGGGGGGAGAAGGTTGGGTGACAACAGGTGGGAGACGAGTGATGACTTCCATGATGGTTTGTTGAAAGGAAGACTGTTGCTGGGTGAGGGAAGCAATGGCGGTGCTCAGTGACGTTTTAAATTCATCGGTTTGGACTGAAAAAGCAGCCAAGGTTTCTTGCACCTCTTGGATTTGCTCACGATGGAGATCGATCTCCAATTCTAGAGTCGGAACCGAAGGGGAGCGTTCGGCGGCGCTGCCCATGGTCGTACTGGCTCGTGATACCAATTGATAGAACCTTATAGCAGCAAGGATAGTAAATAAGGCAAAACGAAATGAGGAAAATTGGATATTTCATTGATGATCCCAAAATAGAGCAACTGTTGCAATTTATACAATGGAATTAGGGCGAATCAGAAAGATTGCCACGTCAAAAGTAGAAATAGCTGATTCTAGAAGAAGTTCTCAATGAGCTAATTCCTATATTATTCTTTTAATAGAAATTGGAAATATAGAGTGGATAAGCAAATAACCACATGGGGGCGTATTGCTATCAGAGCCCAAAGGATCTCATCACAAAGGGCGGAGAACGTAACTAATGGGGTGAATATCTGTATGCTGGTTATTATGTCTCGGCTCAAGAAAGTCCTAGAGATACCTTAATGCTTATAGAATTAGGTAAATCCTTATCAAAGTTGGAATCCTTAAGCCTGTGAGTATTTCTAGAACACTTTTATTAGAGAATCTCCAACAGATATGTCAAAAGTGCCACATAGACATTTAACAGCTAGAAATAACATCTCACACACTCCAACCGATGTGTCAAAGCTGATGTGGAATGAAGGCTAGAGGTTGCGATGTTATTTTTGACATCCCAAAAGCAAGATGTCAAATAAATATTTTATTATTTTTTCTTTTCTATTCTTTTTAATTAAAAATAACTCAACACTAAAATGTAATAAAATAATAATTTAATTTGACATATCGGACGGAGTGGAAAGCTGTGTAAGATGTCAAATTGTCACATCAGCCATCAAATTTAAATTTGATGTTTGGTATTTGACATCTCCCTTGGAGATGCTCTTAGAGCATTTCCAACCGATGTGTCAAAAGTGCCACATAAACATTCAACGGCTAAAAATAACATCTCACATCACTCCAACCGATGTGTTAAAGCTGATGTGGAATGAAGGCTAGAGGTTGCGATGTTATTTTTGACATCCCAAAAGCAAGATGTCAAATGAATATTTTATTATTTTTTCTTTTCTTTCCTTTCTAATTAAAAATAAATCAACACTAAAATGTAATAAAATAATAATTTAATTTGACACATCAGGCTTTGACATATCGGACGGAGTGTAAAGCTGTGTAAGATGTCAAATTGCCACATCAGCCATCAAATTTAAATTTGATGTTTGGTATTTGACATCTCCCTTGGAGATGCTCTTAGGCTACCATATCTGATAGGAATAGACTTTCTGATAAACCATGAGATATGTCAAAAGTGCCACATAAACATTTAACGGCTAGAAATAACATCTCACCTCACTCCAACCGAATTGTCAAAGTTGATGTGGAATGAAGGCTGGAGGTTCAGCTGTTACTTTTGACATCCCAAAAGCAAGATGTCAAATAAATATTTTATTATTTTTTTTAAAGACAGCTGGTTGTTACTTTCATTTATTATTTTCATTTATTATTTTTTTTCTTCTTTATCTTGAATGATTTGACTATTACAATAATTATTTATTTGACATATTGGGTGGAGTGTAAAACTGTGTAAATGTCAAATTGCCACATCAGCCATCAAATTTAAATTTGGTGTTTGGTATTTGACATATCCCTTGGAGATGCTCTTAGGAATCTTTATTCGATTAGAAGATCACTTCAGTGGTTTAAAACAGTAAACCATCTTATATCTTCCTCCAATTGGATGTATGAGTTATTTACATTGACACCTTGAGGTTTTCAGTGCTTTTACCAAACCCATGAGGTTGCAAAAATTACACAAATACTTTCTAAAGTTTCAAACTGTTCTCACGAAAGCTTATGCAAATAACAAATGAGTGATGTTATTTCCACCCCAGTCATATTTCCTCACAAACCATCAGGGCCAGCCTTGGGTTTGGGCGCCAAGTGCGACAGCTATGGGCCTCCAATTTTTGGGGCCTCAAAATTTTTATAAATATTACAGGAGCCCAAACTCTAAAAATAAATAAATAATTACACATATTTCTATTTCCAACTTCTAAAGCGATCTTTCCTATTTCCAACACACTTCCTCTTTTCCCATAAAAAAACTTTTCTGCTTCCAAGTGATCTTTCCCTTTCCCACCATCTTCTCCTCTCTCTTTTTTAGTCAATATATTAGACCATTCTCCCAATGAATTGCATGTATGCTAACTAAGAATCAATTCTTGAAAACTGTCAACCAAGGAAAAAATAAACAAGGACTCTTTTTATATTTTGGCGAACGAAGAGAAGTTCACTGAACAGAAATTTATTCCAAAAAACAGTGAAATTAATCCTTGACCTCCCTCTTGAGATCCACACACCTTTGCACATCCATCAGTGCGGGATAGATTCATCCTAAAGATAACAATTGCCAAACCACCCTACTTTGCACATCCATCAGAGCCGAGTTTTATGTCCCCAGAATTCCCAATTCATCAAGCATTGCAGATATCTTCGCAGATCCATCAGTGCGGGATAGATTCATCCCAAAGATAACACGAGAAAACAATGAGAAAACAATGCTTATCGAGTCCTTCGATGCCTTGTTGACATGATTACATATGAATGTTATCAATCATTGACACTGAAGTAGTTCCTATAAACCAACCGTGGTCGCTTAAGTAGGCTAGCTGCATCTCAGAGGACAATTACTCAAAGAGCAGGGGATAAAGGATTGAGAGTCATTCTTATCTTTTGAAAAATGGACAGAAATTAGTTTCTTCCACTCCTCACCCAAAATACAATACATTGTACCCTAATAGAAGCAGTATATGCGCACATTCTACAAAATCAACTTTCAAGTGTAACCAAAGTCAGGAACCATAAACAGAACAATTCTGGCGACGCTACGGCAGGCATTTGTTCTAATAAGAAAGTATATAAATCTAATTAAAAACAGGTAGGCTGCCGAGTAGAAGAACGAAAAACTGAATTTACTTCCTGCAAAATTTTAGTAAGATGTGGGATGCAATTTAAACCTTACTTTAAAGACAAAATTTTTAGGGTAGAGGACACCATTATAGTATTGTGCCAAAAGCAAGCTAATGCATATGAATGATGCAGCATCAGGTGGCTAAAATAATTACATCCTCACCCGTTTCAACATATCAGATCAGACATCCTGGATATCTACCTTCCCTTGATACACACTTAACAATTCAGGTACTTCGCCAAGATATCGGTTCACAAAAATCTCCAAGAACTGCTTCTCTGCCGGTTTCACCAGAGAACCCAGATTCATGTTCTCATTTATGAAACCTTTCAACAACAGAACTTTAGCAACAGAGCACCTTGGGATAAGTCTCCTCTCCAAACTGAGACCGAGGACCACAGAATATTTGGCAATCATTCCTGACGACCATCCCATCTTGTTCACTAAAAGATCCATTGTTTGCATAAGTTTCTTCTCTGAGACAATCATACACCGTGGGTTCTTCCTGAAAGCAGAGAGAAAATCATCCTCAGACCAACCCCATGTCTTAAGAACTTTTCGAGTTCTATTCAATACCAACTTATTCTTACCACCGAATGCACGCAGGGCATTCACTGAAGTTGATTTTTCCAGATTAAATCCCATTTCCTTAGCCTCATTCACAAGTTGACCAAATTTTTCAGGATTTACCATCAAAACGCGAGTTCCACGAGTTAGCAAAAAAGAAATGCAAGGTTGAGGCATGCCCGATTCTCTCAAAAGCCCAATATTTGGCACCACATGCTTGCAGTGACCTTCCAAGAAAATCCATGAGTTGTGCTTGAAAACAACACCAACATTTTTCTCAGAGAGCATACTCCTGAGGAAGTTATAAGTGGGCAAAATCCGATTTCTCAAGCTGACTGCCAAAAGGTGTGGATTAACAGCCAGAGTTTTTAATAAGTCCCCTTTTGAAATTTCAAGAGAGCTGAAAAACTCAAGTTTTGGCAAAAGGGTTTTCTCAGGATCAGTTGAAAGGAGTGTTGGACGTGTCCTAATAAGTTTTGATATCTGGGTTTGAGATGCTCCATAGTTTCTCAGAAACTCTAAAACGGAGTCTGCTCTTTCTGGTGACTGCAACTTGACCAACTTAGAACCTGTAATCGCTCCTTCTGGGGACAACCCACAAGAGTTTATGAGGTAAGTGACTGTGAAATTGTGTTGGTTTGCTGAGATTTCTGAGGGGACGTGTCTGCAGAGCAACTGACTCTGAAGAGAAAATGTGAGGGTTTTGGATCTCCAACCAACAGTCTGATTGTTTTGGAAGCAAATGTACAAGAAAATATTGAGTAAACCAATCTGAAGGTCTTCAAATTGCAGAGTTGAATCATGTTAGAGGTTGATGATGAACAATTTCTACAGGAAAACTTAAAGCCCTAGCTGATTCTCTGCCTTCAGAAAATATGCAGTTGTCGGCATTCTAAAAAGATCTGAACCATCCAAATAAAATTGACTGGTATAGGATAAACCATTGCAGCTAGGGTAAGTTTTCTTACCATTTTCACAACTGACGGTCACTGGCTTACTGCTTCTATCCATGGTGGTAGGAAATATTCTGCCAGAAAAACCTCTTCATTCTTCATAGGTACAAATCAAAGCAAAGCAATTACTCCAATCCCAGGCAATAAGAAAACCCAAAAAAAAGGGTTGAATTTCAAACTTAAAAACAGTCGAGGGCATTTGTTTCTTTGGGACAAAGGGCGTAGAACATTTGGGCGATGATGCTTTGGTTTAGGGCACTTCCAGCAGAGCCCGAAGGCAAGGGCTGGGGGCCTACTGTAGACCAAAAACTGATTCCAGCAGGAGGTTGGCCCGGGCAAGCTGTGGGGGCCCACGAGCCTGGGCTGGCCCGAAGGGGTAAGGGGCCCAAGCGACAGCCTGCGGGATGGATGACATCAGGGTGCTACAGTGACGCTACAGTGCTCTGCTATAGTGCAGCTAACATCTCTCTGCCAAGTGTCGCGTTCTGGGCTCTCCGATCAGAATTTTTCCTCCAATCCAACGGCAGCCAATTTTTGTGCAATAAAAAAATGAAAAAAAATCGAATTTTTAAAAAAAAAATACCCAAAAATTCTGTAATTTTTTTTTTCTATAAATACGTACCAAAACTCTTCACTTTCAACACCAAATTCTCATACATTTTCTTCTACTTCTACTATTATTCACTTTTTACTCAAGTATTGACAAGTACGAACCCAAAAATTTTATTCGAAAATATTGTCCAAATTAATTGTTTAGGTAAACAAATTTGTGAAAAAAAACAAAAAATTGAATAGTACTTGCCCTTTGCCCGGGCAACTGCTGGAAGTGCAACTTACTTTTTGCAAGGGCAGATACTATTCACATGAATAGTATTAGCCTTAGTCCCCCCCTTGCCATGGCAAGGGTTTGACTGCTGGAAGTGCCCTTATAGAAGCTCGACGTGGTTACTCTCAGGTGCTGCTCAGAAGCAATTTGAAAGCGCCTCTTCTTGCAAATGGAATTTGGATGTATGAGTTATTTACATTTTACGGTGTGTTGTCAAAATCCTTGAGGTTTTGAAAATTAGATGAAGACCTCCCTGAAGTTTCAAATTGTTCTCACTAAATCCGGTATCATTATTTTTTCGTCCAAAAGTTAATGATTTCGTTTACAAAAAAACTTACGCAAATAAAAAATTTAATCTTGGTTCGATTGAAAGACTAACTTGTAAGCGGCTTGAAGCTTAATTGGTTAAGAGGATATATCACATCCTAAGTTCAATTCCCTCTTACTGAATTTTGCTTGTAAAAATCTAAGTACTAAATTTGTTATTATTTGAAGACATTTTTTAATATAAAATCATCAATTATAGAAGGAAAAATTAATGGAAAAAGGTTTTAAGAAAACAATTTAAAACTTTATCAATATGCTACTATTTCCACCCACCTGTCCTATTTTCCCACCCACTTTATCTTCAAAATTTTAAAGACAAATTTACCCATTTGTAAAATGACTTCTGATGACAAATTTACAACTCTATCTATCTCTCTAACACGCACCCAAACCCATATATATTTTTTTGAAACCCACACCCATCTTCATACCCAACCCACCAAACACCTAACCGATGTTAGCACAACCCATTGTCCGTTCATTTGGAAGAACCCACCACCCCTTCCTCCTTTCCTCACTTCTCCATCGTCCCTGCCCTCATACCCTACCCACCCTTCCTACAATTTGTCAGCACAACCATCGTCCCCAAAGAACGATCCATGACGCTAACGATGACGAAGTTGCCCACAATGAAATTTGGCACAAATGAGTTGAAACACACCATTACTGAATTGGCAGTGTATAATATTAACCATATCAAACACATAAAATGAAAGAAGGCCATAAAGTTGGGGTTGAGCCCAACAAGCCAGTGCAAAGGCACAATGAATATGATGGCTAGGATAAGCAACAAAGGAGGAGTGGGAAAATCAAATTGGTGGCGAGGGTGGGAGGTGGGGGGTGGCTGGGGATGGGAGGAAAGGTGGTTGTCGGTGTGATGGTCATGGTGTTGACTGTTGGGTATTCATCAGAGCTGCGTGGAGGGTGACTTGGGGTGGGGGGATGGAATATAATTTATTTTTTTTGGTAATAGCAAATATGGAAATACAATTAAAGGGTATTTTAAGAATAATGGTGGGTGGAAAGATAGGTTCGTGATTTTTCAAATTTACATGGTGGGTGGGAAGATAAGGTGGGTGGAAAAATAGGACAAGGGGGTGGAAATAGCAGCACTCTTGTGTAATTTTTGGAACTACAAAGGGTTTAGTAAAAGCACAAGTTTTAATGTAAATAACTCTGAAATGTATCCGCATAAAAAATAAAATGAAAACTCTGAAATGTATAGTATACCTGTCAGATTTTATTTTTCGATTTTTGTACATTAAACACCTGTTTATCCTTTTTATATTTGAGTCTGTTGAAGACTGAGTAAAATGCCTCATTAATCTTTTATCCATTAATGGTTTATGGATTAACTTTCTTTTATGTGAGCATGTCATTGTTAGCAGATAATACCCTAATAAATTTGAATGACTTTATATACTACAACCCCAAGTAATAGACTTTAAACAAACAATTGTGATTTTGGGTGGGGAAACCTCCCAAGAGAATTCTTTTCTATGCCTCAGACTGGTGCAGACTTCACAATTTATCTAGATAGAAATGATAAGTAAAGCAAAATACACATATTTATGGAGAATAAAACAGACTAATCCAAGCAGAACTACCTTAAGCACAAAGCATAAAATGAATTGCTAAATCTAGACAGGCCTCAAATTGTTGTACTTTGACTTCTACTTAAAAATACAATCAAAATGATGTTTTAAGGTCAGGCTGGACTGGATGTTTCTACACTGGAATTGCACATCAATACCTTCAACTAACAAAGATTAGTTGGAAATCAATACCAATGTTGGTATTGGCAGAGCTATAAACAAGTTAAACCAATATGTAGGCTGGAAAAGTGAGCGAAACTGCAAGCAAGTACCTATTCTGGTTGGTTTTGTATGATGTGGAAGCTTTCTAGACAATTTTAAGATAGAGGTATCTTTATAAACTTGTTGAGGTTTTAATATGATGAAAGACTTAACTTCTATTTGTGTTATCTGATTTGTTGAACCAAATTTGTAAGAGAATTCAATCTTTTTAAAGTTCTAATTGAAATACATTGTCTATATTGCAAAAAGAATCTTGTCTTCTTTTTGGCTGTCTGAGTTTTTGTTTGAGTTGGGTTGCTTCCTACAGAAGATTGTTTGCTTGCCTTCGATAATTGCAAGATCGTGTGATCTTTGATTTCTTTTGATAAGTCTGGACTATGAATTAATTAAATCCCCCTTTGGCTGAATAGTATGTGACAGGAATTGCCCCGAATTCCTCGGAATCCGTGATGGATCCTGTGGTTTTTCCGAAGTCCAACCGATGTCGGGCCCACTTACTAATTATAAACATCCTCTTCCCCTAAAACAAAAGAAAAGAAGGCCGAGACTCCTACCAAATTTATGCAGTCTCCCCTGAAAAACCAACTTTACCAAAATTTTCAACCTGTCAAAAACACAATTTAAAATTACCAAACTTCAACATGCACAAAATATGTTACACACAACAAACAAACAGGCCTCCGGCCTCATAACCAAAAATTTTCTAAAACGTTCTTGCTTTTGAACTCCTTTGTAAATCCATACACTCGTAACTATTATCGTAACAACAATTAGAAAAGACCTTTCTTATTCGAAAATTCATTTCCACACTTAGAACAATACAAGCATAGTTCGAACAGTTTATTTTGTGGCCGCACCTAAGTTAAACCCCAGGCTACCTACCTCTCTGTGAGAGATCAAGCCACACGTAGTTCTTATGACAAAAGAATCACAATTTAGAAACATACAAATATTGTCCAAGTAAAACCCAAAATTTAATTTAGATTAATTCTCAACTTCAATTTCCTACAAGGCATATAACTAAATATTTTGACAACTCCTTTCTTCCATGACTCAACTCAAAACCATTGCCCTCTAGAAACTCATAAGTACTATGCATACTCTTTTAAAATTAACCAATTACTCTGAAACTCAAGTTACTTTTCCAAAATCATTTCTTTCCCGCAACCATACGCTATCCAAGGCGTATGTGGCAAAACAACGCTGTCCAAACATCAAAGCTATGATCATGCCAATGCAGAGCACTCACCATGCACATGCTCAAGAAAATCCCACCGTTGTTCCCATTAAACTTTTATCTTTACATATACACATTTCTCACACATGCACGATGAAATCCTCAATGCCCGTGCGGTTGAAACTCAATCCCCAGACACGCACAACGGAATCCTCAACACCCATGCGGCTGGAACTCAAAACCACTACCCTCCCAAAACACAAGGTCATATAATTATAATAAAAACTCAACCCACAATCAAATTTCCAATAAACCAATAGACATTATTCATTTACTTAATAAATATAATAGACTTAGATGAACATGTAAGACATTTATAATAATATCTGATATCTCTATAATCAAATGTCAAAATTCACACATCCCCTGTTCAAATTTCATAAACAAACCCAATATCACCCAAATCTCAAAATCACCAAAGTCCAAGACCCAAATCCATATAGTTTAATACTAATAATAATAACAATAATAATATTATTAAAATAATAATCCCGTGAAAATCACATATTACATTGTAAAAGCCGAAACTAACCCGATAATATAATCCCATAACCATATTAACCCCAAAAAAAAAAACCGATTTCCAAACCAATCACATTTATGCACGCAATTCCATATTTGAAAAACAATGCACATTTGAAAAACAAACAACCACTCACCCATTATCTATATATGTATATATCTAAATTGCACAACCCACACCATCATTATGTACTAGGGGAAAACAATCCAACACGAGGACTGTTTGACTAAACCACATGAAAGAATTCTCAATTGACCATGTGGCTAGGGAACGAGTCATCTAACCAGGGGGGAAACAGCCGCTCTACAGCACACACGATGAAAAATTCAATGCCATGTGTGGCCAATCTAAGTCTTACACACGCAGACTGCCCGTCAAAGCCTACAGCACACCAGACCAAAGTTGCCCGAATCTTTACCACACGCTAGAAAATCCAACGCCACATGTGGCCAATCTAAGTCCTACACGTGCAGACTGCCCTTCAAGGCCTACGGTAGACTCGACCAAAGGTGCCCGGATCTTTACCACATGCCGAAAAATCCAACGCCGCGTGCGGTAAAGTGATAGTAACTAAGTGAGCCCACAAGCCGGAAAATCAACTACTGGTCATCCTATTTCATATCAGGATATGATTTTGCTTCTTCTCAAAGGCTTACCTATGGAATACAATCACTTCAAGTCTCATATCCGTGCTAGACCAATACGTATTACTCTTCCAGAGCTGCGTGATCTACTCCTAAAGGAAGAGAGTGATTTGGATGTTGCTACTAAGTCCTTTACTCCTCCAATTATGACTGCTATGGTTGCTCAAAAAGGCACAACTTCCTCCTCACCACCAGTTGCTAATGGTTTTCTGGTTCTGTTGATCGAGGAGATGGTAATCCAAATTGGCAATCTCACTGGAATAGACGTCCAAACTATCGTGGTCGTGGTTCTTAGTCTCCAAGCCGATCGTGGTCGTGGTTCTTGGTCTCCAGGTGAGGCAATTCTTGGCATAACGGTGGGTCATGGCATAATGGCAACAACTCTGATACTATCTGGAATGGTTCAACCAATCAGTGGAATCATGGTGGTCAGTCTGGAAATTCTCATGGTCAATGGAATCAAGGTTCTGGTCCATGGCATAACAATGCTGGTTCATGGCATCATAATAGTGGACCATGGCATCAAGGGAGTAACTCAGGGTCTTCACCTCAATATTTTTTTTCTCCAAACTCCAGCCTTGGTGTTTTGTCACCTTCTCCTATAGCTCCACTAGTTCCATCAGCTCAATCTACTCCAGCAACTAACACATGCCAAATCTGCCTTCAGTTTGGTCACACAGCTCTAAATTGCCCACATCGAGCTAATTTCTCCTATCAAGGCACGCCTCCCTCTCCAACCCTCGCAGCTCTTACTTCAATTGCTAGTGATTCATTCTCGGATCCAAACATCTAGTTAACAAACAGTGGTGCTACAAATCACATGACTTCAGATCTTCGACCTCTCTCCAACATTACTCCTTCAACCTCCACTGATAATGTTACTATAGGTAATGGTACTGGACTTAGTATTGCTAATGTTGGTAGCTCTTCTCTTGTATCTGGTCATCAAGTCTTTAATCCCCCTGAGGTTTTACATGTTCCTAATCTGGCCACTAATCTACTATTTGTTCATCGATTTTGTCTTGATAATCACTGCCAGATTTTATATAATGCCTTGTGGTTCCAAATTCAGGATCTGAAGGGGCAAATTCTGTATCAAGGCAAGTGCAATAATGGTCTTTATCCACTGCCAACAAGAATCCCTCCCATTTTACCTCACTTGGCTGCTTTTCATGGACGAAAAGTTTGTCATACTTTGTGGCCCTATAGATTAGGCCATCCATCTCATGATATTACCAATTCTATGTTAGCTAAAGCTCAAATTCCTCTTTCTCCTAATTCACCACATGTATGCAGTTTTTGTTTGCAAGGGAAGATGTACAAACAACCATTTCCATCTTCACATGTTGTGTCTCAAATTCCTTTTGAAGTGATACACTCGAATGTATGGGGTCCTACTCCTTATTCCCCTTTGCATGGTCACAAGTACTATGTACTTTTTCTTGATGAGTGTACCAACTTTTGTTGGCTGTTTCCTTTAATAAAGAAATCAAATAGTTTCTCTACTTTTGTTCATTTTCTTGCCTATGTTCAAAATCAGTTTGCCACTTCCATTAAAACTTTCCAAACTGATAATGGGGGTGAATATGTCAGCACATAATTTCAGACCTTTCTTAGTTCCAAAGGCATCTTACATCATAAGTCTTGTCCTTATACCCCCTGAGCAAAATGGAAGGGCTGAAAGGAAACATCGACATTTAGTTGAAATAGCTGTTACACTTCTCACTACAGCTGCTCTTCCATCCAAATATCTCTTCCATGCCTTATCCACAGCCAATTATCTTATGGGTTTAGGGTTTAGGGATATACTTTGGATTATAAAGGCTATCTCTATCTAGCTCCCAGAACTAATCGCATTTACATCTCTCGACATGTTATCTTTGATAAGGACTGCTTTCCTTTTAAGAGTGCTTCTTGTTCCTCAGTTCCTACTAAACCACCATATTTAACATCCTCTAGACCTTATCTACTCTCTTCACCTTTATGTGTTACTCATAGACTTGATGGTTTTCTAGCGGGTACTTCTTCTACTAACACATTAGCAAGTCCAGTACCTACTGCAAGGGAAATTTCTTCTTCTGTTGATGTTACTAATCCTTCTACTAAGTTTGTACAGGCTCAGCCACCAGACTTTCATCAAGTACAAGAAGCATCTTTCACTCCGTCTGCCTCATCATCTTCTTCTGAGCATACTGTGGATCAGTCACCAGCTGCTTCTTCATCTTCATCACTGCATTTGGTTGTGGATCTTCCTACTCCACCAGTTAATTCTCATCCTATGCAGACGTTCTAAGTCTGGGATTCTCAAATCTCGACATGGTTTCTTGGCTGCCAAACCACTAGTTGCTCCATCTCCTCTCTATGAACCACATACTTATTCCCAGGCTGCCAAGGTTCCAAAATGGAAGGCTGCTATGGAAGATGAGTTTCAAGCTCTTCAAAAACAGCATACTTGGACTCGTGTTCCTTATCACCCTTCCATGAATATTGTTGGTTGTAAATGGGTGTTCAAACTTAAGAAAAATGCTGATGGTTCCATCTCTCGACACAAAGCTCGGTTGGTTGCCAAAGGGTTTCATCAAGAGGCTGGCCTTGATTATGAAGAGACATTCAGTCCTGTTGTCAAGCACTCTACAGTTCGATTGATCCTTGCTTTAGCTGCTCAGTATCATTGGTCTGTTAAACAACTTGACGTGAAGAATGCTTTTCTTCATGGTGTTCTTCATGATGAAGTTTATATGCAACAACCTTCGGGTTTTGAGGATTCTGCTCAACCTCATCATGTGTGCCGGTTATTAAAGTCTCTTTATGGGTTAAAACAAGCTCCTCGAGCTTGGAATGAACGGTTCACTACTCATTCGCTCACTCTTGGTTTTGTTCAATCCTTGGCTGATACATCTCTCTTTGTTCGTGCATCTGGGAGTGATATGCTTGTTCTTCTCTTGTATGTCAATGATATTCTCTTGATTAGGAATAATAGTGTCTTGATTCAGTAGACCATTACAGCTCTTAGCCGTGAATTTGATATGAAGGATCTCGACAAATTAACCTATTTTTTGGGTCTTCAAGTTCAGTATACCTCTACAGGTATTCATGTTAACCAATCTAAATATGCTACTGATCTTCTCCTTAAGGCTGGTATGACTCAGTGCAAGCCTTGTTCTACACCCTGCTTACCTACTTCCAAGTTACTAAAGTTTGATGGAACACCTTTATCTGATCCTACCTTTTATCAAAGTTTAGTAGGAGGACTTCAGTATCTTACCTTCAGCAGGCCTAACATTGCATTTGTCGTAAACACTCTTTGCCAGTTTATGCATGTACCCACCGATACACATTTTGCTGCAGTCAAACGTGTGCTACGATACTTGGGTGGTACTCTGACGCATGGCATTCATTTTACCTCTGGTGATGTTCGTCTACAAGCCTACTCCAATGCAGACTGGGTGGGTGATGTCAATGATCTTCGTTCCACAATAGGGTATGATGTTTTTCTTGGTAATAATCCAATTGCTTGGTGTGCCAAGAAGCAGGGTACAGTTTCTCGTTCCTCAACAGAGGCTGAATATAGAGCTCTTGCTATCACAGCTGCTGAGTTGTCCTCTCTACGTTAACTCCTCCGCGATCTTCATGTGTTTCTTGATCATCCACCTGTTCTTTGGTGTGACAATATTTCAACATTGGCTCTTGCTAGCAATCCTGTGTTTCAAGCTCGCACTAAGCATATCGAAATTGATTTTCACTTTATCCGTGAGCGTGTTACACTGGGTGATATGCTGGTTTCTCATATCCCTAGTAGCAATCAATTGGCTGATATATTTACTAAAGGTCTCCATACTTATCAGTTTTCTTATCTTCGCAACAATCTAATGCTTAGTCCTCTAAGAATTAGCTTGAGGGGGGATGTTAGCATACAACCCAAACCACTAGATTGTAACTCATAAGTCATTACATTTAGTCACGTGTCTGTTAGTCACCATTCCAGTCACGTGTATGTTAGTTAGGGCTGCAATTCGGCCGGATCGGATCGGAAACAGCCATTCCAATTTCCGTCCAAAATTTTTCGGAATTCCTTAAACACTTCCGATTCCGATTCCGAAAAATTCCGGAATTTTTCGGAACTTTCCGATTCCGAAGTTTCAAATTCTTCAAAACTAATTCGTATAATATTGTTCCGATTCTGAAAAATTCCGAATTTTTTTGAAACTTTCCGATTCCAAAGTTTCAAATTCTTTAGAACAAATTCATATCAATATTATACGTAACTTGATCGGTTCATAATTGTATATCATTTTGTACCCTTCTAGCTTATGATTTGGTTATGTTTTTGAGTTAAACTTGTGCTTTTAATCCTTTTTGTGTTTATCTTTCAGTTCATTGAGCTTTAGGTAATAATGATGGCTTTAGAGAGCATAATTCATGCAATTCAAGCATGTTAAGGCCTAATTTGGATGAATGGATGAAGAG